CTGCATTCCTCTCCGGAGGGTTGGGATGCCAACTGCAGCCGCCCCCTCGGATTTGCAAGAGACGCACATTGTTCTCTGCTTAGGCCCACCATGAGAAAAGAAAAATGCCACCCAGAGGGATACAGCTGGCGCAGAAAGACCAGGGTGCCCACAGCCCAGGAACTGAGGCACAGTTAGAATCACAACTTTCACTACTGTAAAATCAAAGGGCAGACTCGGTGTCTGTGAGCTTGTATTCAAGTCTCATTCGAAGGAAAAATTTAAAAAAAAATAGATCACTTTGGTTTAAATCCTAACAGTATAACTTTTTACTCCTTAAGAAATTCTTGGCAAACTCTGTTTTCTCTTTTTATCCCTACTGGCATTATTTTGTTCCCAACCTTTATTTTAAAGATTAGGATTCTGGGGGGGGGGGGAGTTTTCCTGCTAACCAATAATAACAAAAAAGCTATCAAGATTAAAAACAATACAGACACAGAACTACCCCAAATACAGGTAGTCGTCGACTTACGACCACAATTGAGTCCAAAATTTCTGTTGCTAAGCAAGACGGTTGTTACTTACGTTTTATCCCATTTTATGCCCTTTCTTGCCACAATTGTTAAGTAAATTACTGCAGTTGTTAAGTTACTGACGTGGCTGTTAAGTGAATCTGGCTTCGCCATTGACTTTGCTTGTCAGAAGGTGGCAAAAGGCAATTATGTGACCCCAGGATGCTGCAACTGTCATAAGTACTTGCCAGTTGCCAAGAGTTCGAATGTTGATCGTATGGCCATCAGGATGCTGCAACAGTCAGAAGTCACATTTTTCAGTGCCATTGTAATTCTGAAAGACCCAGCAGGGGATCCGAAGCAATTTAGATGCAGTTTGTGTGTGTGTGTGTGTGTGTGTGTGTGTGTGTGTGTGTGTGTGTGTGTGTGACATTGTGCAAGTGAAATGGAAGACTACCTAAACTCACCCCAGATTATGCTTTTCAGCTATATATGGTCAGTTTTATTCAAACATGTAGAGTTAGAACAGAAGGATGCAGAATCCTTTCACTGGCCTCAATTTGTTTATTATTTATTTTTAAACAAATGTATATAACCACCCAACTCACACAGAGTGACTCTAGGCAGCAATTATGTCAGTTACTGTACTGAATGGATTTTGTACTTCTTAAGTCCCGCAGTTCTTCCGATAGGAAACAGGAGACCGTGAGTTCACGTCTGAGCCTTAACCGTGAAAGCCAGCCAGGTGACTTTGAACCAGTCACTCTTGCTCAGACCAACCCACCTCACAGGGTTGTTGTGGGGAAAATAGAAGGAAGGTGTGTTGCACTTGCTTGTTACAGGTTGGCCTTGACTTATGAACACAATTGAGCCCAAAATGTATTTGCACATCTTTCAGGAAGTAGCTGGACTAGGATAGCAAAGATGCAAACCCTTATGAGATAATAAATAACTATGAGGTCACTGCGGCATGAGCAGAGTTCCAAAGTCTGATCATAAATTCTCCTCTGAGGTTCCTGAGTATATTGTTAGATTCCTTCCCGTCTTGATTTGTTGAAGAATCTGGTTTCACAGAATCCCCTGCTCAGTGTTGTAAAGCCCAAGTTTCCAACAGAAGCGTCAGAGAAGTGTGAAGGGCAAGTTCCACACTTTAATTAAATCTTTATTAAATCTGTTATGAACAAATTTACAACAAAAATACTCTATAACAATATAGAATTTCTTCTTCATAGATAAATAAATCTCTGTTTGGATCCGGCCTGTCATCTTTAGTATTGAAACCGGATATATATATATATTCCTCTGTATGTTAAATAGCAATAGAAATTATACGTGCAAAATAGTGTCTTATTTTTTTGTTTGCATGCAAAAGGAAGAGAAAAGGGAGGAGGAAGAGGAAAGAGCATTACTGCCCCCTGCTGGTATTCCTGCAACATGACTGAATCTTATCTGCAAAAATATATGCAGATTTTTTTAGGAGTCACAAATATACGGGTGTATACTTTATAAAAAAGCAAGTTATAGAGAAAACTTCAATCAGCCTTCCCCAATTTGGTGTTCTTCTGATGAGTAGGGGCTATAGCAGCGTTTCTCAACTATGGTAACTTTGAGATGTGTAGAACTACAACTCCCAGAATTCCTCAGCCAGCATGGCTAGCTGGGGAATTCTTGGAGTTAAAATCCACACATCTTTAAAAAGTTGTCAAAGCTGAAAAATACTGGGCCACCGCATCCAGAATTCCCAGAAATATGGCAATATTGGCTAGGAATTTTGGGATTTGCAGTCCTAAAACAGCCAGAGGGAGGCTGCTACAGGTTGATCGTATTGAAGAGGACATCCTAATGCAGGGATCTCCAAATCTGACAACTTTAAGACTTGTGGACTTCAACTCCTAGATTTCCTCAGCCAGCCATGCTGTTGGGGAATTCTGAGAGTTGAAGTACACAAGTCTTAAAGTTGTCAAGTTTGAAGACCTCTGCTCTAATGCATTGCAGAATATAATACTGGTGCCTTTTGAAAGGATATTCTTATGCCCATCCTCCTGCACACTATTTCAGGTGGAATTGACAAAATGCTTTGTCCTCTGAATGCCAGGATTTTAAGAATCTGGCCCAAATTCTCTTTATTTCCCATTATCCATCCTATTTAAATATCAAAACCTTGGATACATTCTTTGATATTCATTCTTTAAGGCAAGAAGAAAACCTTGAACTCAATGTTTCCCAGAAAACACGTGTCTACATAGCTACTAGCAGCTGACCTCAACCCAAGGGAAAATTACTTTTTTTTTAACCGTGAAAAGTAAAATAGGGTCTGCTGCAAAAAACAGTTTGCCAGAGGGTATCCATGGGATGTGGGTCAAAAATTCAAGATGGCCGTTGCGTGAATGAAGCTGCCATCTTGATTTTTTTTCATTTCCCCCTCCAGGGACATTCCTGTATTGCCAGCAGTTGTCTCCCACTTGAAAGAAGTGAACATTACGAGTCGTTCTTGACTTACGACCACAACTGAGCTCAAAATTTCCATTGCTAAGCAAGACCGTTGTTAAGTGACTTGTGCTCCATTTTATGACATTTCTTGCCACAGTTGTTAAGTGAATCAATGCAGTGGTTAAGTTAATAACATGGTTGTTAAGTGAGTGTGGCTTCCCCATTGACTTTTGATCACATGACCCCGGGACACTGCAACCGTCATAAATATAAACCAGTTGCCAAGCCTCCGAATTTTGATCACATGACCAAGGGGATGCTGCAATGGTCATAAGTGTGAAAAATGATCATAAGCCACTGTTTTTCAGTGCTGTTGCAATTTTGAACGGTCACTAAATGAATGGTTGTAAGTTGAGAACTACCTGTAATCTATTTCTTCTTTCAAGGGAGGAACGTCAGATTAATATGCCCCTTCACACCAGTCTTGATTCTAAGAAAAAGTGGAGGATCAGAAGCCAAGTTTCTAGGCCTATTCCATCAAGTGCCAGGCACTGGGACCCATGGATGTCTCCAGGCTACTGGCTTGCTGTTCTGGAATAATCCACTTAGCTCAGTCATGTCTCCAATTCGCCAGAAGAGGGTGATCTTAGAACTTGGAGCAGAGATTGGCCAGCTGCTGTTGGAAACCTAGATCTGTTTTAAAAGAGAGACCAGACCCAAAGTTAGATTTTTACAAATCCACTATACCGGTAACTACTAAAGAGAATCGCATTCAATTGCATGACTTTAGCTGGCATCCAGTTTTGGTCACCACATTACATAAAAGATGTTGAGACTTTGGGGAAAAAGTGCAAAGAAGAGCAACTAAAAAGATTAAAAGCCTGGAGACTAAAATATATGAAGAACGGTTGCAGGATTTGAGTATGGCCAGTCTAGAGAAAAGAAGAACTAGGCGGGACAGGATAGCAGTATTCCAGTATTTGAGGGGCTGCTACAAAGAGGAGGGGTTCAACCTGTGAACAGTGAGGACAATTAACCTGGAACAGCTTGCCTCCAGAAATCGTGGGCGCTCCATCACTGGAGGTTTTTAAGAAGAAACTTGTCTGAAATGGTATAGGTTCTCCTGCTTGAGCAGAAGGCTGGACTAGAAGATCTCCAAGGTCCCTTCCAGCTCTGTTCTATTCTATTCTATTCTATTCTATTCTATTCTATTCTATTCTATTCTATTCTATTCTATTCTGCTCTTGAATTCATTCAGCCGTTGTCCCTCCAAGATGTCCCTCATAGGAGCCTCTACTGCAGGGCTTTTCAACCAGTGGTACGGGTACCACCTGTGGTACATTGGCACCTGGTAGGTGGTACGCGACCATCCAGAAAAGTGGTAGTGGGGGAGAGGAATGAGCTGAACCAGTGGCAGCACCACACAAGCCTGAGAGAGAGATGGCTGGAGCTGCAGGGCTGTCAGGGCTCAGCGGAAGTGCCAGGATCAGCGTTTCTTTGGGACTGTCAGGGCTCAGTGGAAGCAGCAGGATCAGCGCCAGGCTCCAGCTGGAGCTCGGCGCTGATCCTGGTGCTTCTGCTGAGCCCTGAAGAAGCACCAATCAACTGGAAAGCAGTACTGATCCTGGCGCTTCTGCTGAGCCCAGAAGAAGCGCCAATCAGCTGGAATATTGCAGCATCTCCAGGGTCTTGTGATTTACATTCAGATGCTTGGCAACTGATTCATATTTATGACAGTCACAGTATCCCAGCAACCACCCAGCAGACGGGGGGAATGAAAACCAAACACCCCCACCCCACCCCTGCTGCCAATCCTCAACAGAAATGCTCACAACAATGAAAACCTCGGACAGGAGGAAGAGCGCCACTGGGTGGGCAGGCAGGTGTCTTGCTCGGCTATGGCTTGGGGGGCACTTTTTTCAGTGCCATTGTAACTTCGAACAGTTCATCACTTTTTTTCTTTCTTTTTTTTTTGGTCATCAAGTTTTTGACACCTTGCTTAGGCGATTGGTGGTACTCGGATATTGCCATATCCTAAAAGTGGTACAATGAGTGAAAAGGTTGAAAAGCCCTGCTCTACTGCGTCTCTTATCATCCAGTCCAGCCTTTGCATTCCCTTCGCCCACTATCCTGCCTTCAGCCATGTTAGAAGTTCCACACCTTCAACAATTCAGCTTTTCCGGAAGAATGAGAAGAAGCCTGTGCCACTGGGAATGCTGGCACCAGCCCGAAATAATTCAGGACCCTTGCCTTGTGTCGGTGGCTTTGGTGGCGGGGTGAGGCAATGGCGTTCTTCCCGCTGTTTCTGGAGAAGTTGCTGGTGAATAATATACTGAATATCATCCTGTAGGTCGCAAAGAAAAAAAGAGAATATTCTGATCAATGTGAAGTAGAATCCAGAAATCCTCTCTTGAGTCTCAGAATTTCCATTGCTAAGCAAGGACGTTGTTAAGTGATTGGTGCCTGATTTTATGACCTTTCTTGCCACAGTTGTTAAGTGACTCTTTAGTTTTTAAATTAATCATGCAGTTGTTAAGTAAATTCAGATTCTCCCATTGACTTTGCTTGTCAGAACCCAGCTGGGAAATGGTTGCAAATGGAAAGCACATGATCCTGGGACAATGCAACCATCATAAATATCACTGGCAGTAGCACCTAAACTTATATACCGCTTCACAGTGCTTTATAGCCCTCTCTAAGCAGTTTACCATATTGCCCCCAACAATCTGGGTCCTCTTTTTACAGACTTCGGAAAGATGGAAGGCTGAGTCAACCTTGAGCTGGTCAGGATCGAACTGCTGGCAGTTGGCAGAGTTAGCCTGCAATACTGCATTCTAACCACCGCGCCACCATGATTCTTTCCTCACATAAATACATGCTGGTTGCAAAGTGGCCAAATTTTCATCATGTGGCAGTGGGGATGCTGTGATAGTTGTACTACAAGTGTGAGGGCTACTTCTAAGTCACTTTTTTTTGGGGTGCCTTTGTAACTTTGAACCATCATTAAACAAATGGTTGTAAGTTGAGGACCACCTGTTATTTTGAACAAAAGACACAATTTTGCCCTTGAAGACTCCCATTTGTAAAGTATTTCTGCCCCAAATGCTCAAAGCAAAGACAAAAAAAGATTCCTGTGATTTTGTTTTGGTTTTGCGGAAATGAAACGTCATAATTTGGCCCCCAACAATACAGTTGCATTATTCTGAAAGTGATGTTTCCTTTTCTCATATAGTTAGAGGCACGTACTTGCAATCCAGAGCTCTATCAGTAATTTTTGCTCAGGGTTTGCTCTGCTGGCCCCAGGTTCAGACCATTCAAATGCTTAGCTGGTTTCATGTGTAGCATCACAAATCCAACACAGAAGCAGAAAAAATATTTTAGCTCCTCACCAATTTGTTTCTGTGATTTTCTAAATTTCCTGCTACTCCTTTCCTGCTACATCTCCCCCCTCCACTTCAATTTTTTTTTTTTTGCACTAATAACATCTTAGCATTCCCCTTCCTATAACTCAGGGGTCTTCAAACTTGGCAACTTTAAGACTTGTGGACTTCAACTCCCAGAATTCCTCAGCCAGCTGGCTGAGGAATTCTGGGAATTGAAGTCCACAAGTCTTAAAGTTGCCAAGTTTGAAGATCCGTGCTATAACTCATTTGTTTTTAACTATGGCTAGTCCTCAACTTACAACTTTTCATTAAATGACCATTCGAAGTTACAACAGTACTGAAAATAGTGACTTATGGCCATTTTTCACACTTATGATCGTTGCAGCAGCCCCGTGGTCACGTGATCAATACTCAGACGCTTGGCAACTGATTCATATTTATGACGGTTGCAGAGTCCCAGGGTCACGTGATCACCTTTTGCGGCCTTCTGACAAGCAAAGTCAATGGGGAAGCCAGATTCATTCAACAACTGTGTTACTAACTTAATAACTGTAGTAATTCACTTAGAATCTGTGGCAAGAAAGGTTGTAAAATGGGGGCACAACTCACTTAAGAAATGTCTCGGTTAGCAACATACATTTTGGGCTCAGTTGTGGTCGTAAGTTGAAGACTACCTTTATTCTTCAGTAAATATTTCTTTTTGCATTTGCTTTCCTGCGAGCTCCCCTTTTATATCCCATCATTGGGCCGCCCTCCCCCCCCCCCAAAAAAGTGGCCTATTTGAAAAGGGATGAGATTCATTCAGTGAACCTGGAATGCAGCTGGGAATATAGGATAAAAATCCCCACACTCCATTCAGCTATGTCACAAAATGCATCTGGAACTGAGGAAATGTTGAAGGAGCCAAAGCTGTATCTGAATGGGATTTTTAAAAAAGGAGGCATTGGGACTGTTACAGTTCCTGACACATGATTCACAGCTTGCAAACGGATTAACAGTTAAACCTCAGGAGGACATGTTTCCTGATGGTTCTGATATCTGCTTACTCACTTGCCAAGCTTCCAGCTCCTGAGTAAGTGCCATCTTCTGTCGAATGACACGCAGCAACTGTTGGCTCAGCGAATCTCGTTCCAGGGAGATTTTTGCCAATTCCAATTCTATTTCACCTTTCCTAGTAGGAAAAAAAAATATAGTCATAGTCATACCTCTGGAACACTACGTGAACACCATAGGCATTGATGAAATCCCCATTAGTCAATTGCAAAAGGCAGCTTTACTTGGAACAGTAAGTGTCACCCTGTGATGATACCTTTAACATCATCAAACAACTTTTTTGATTAGTATTGGATGATTGTGCATTTATTTCCTAGATTAGCTTTGGGAAGTCCTGGGGGGGGGAGGGGGGAAAGGGTTAGGTTGGTATTATAGATTTAGATGTATATATATATATGTATGATTTTCTAAGGAGGTGCCCGGTGATACCCCAACTGCACTGACGGGATGACTGAGGGAGAAAGGGAAGCAGGAAAGAGGGAGGAAGGAGGAGTGGTGGTAAGATAAGGAGGAGGAAGGTGTAGGTAGGTGAGAGG